AACCAGATCCCATCTTTAGTGTCCTCTACTAATTCATAGAAGTGCACCTCTCCACTGAAGTGTGTGGTGCTGGAGCCGTCGGCCTCCGTCTGCTCCTTCTGCTTCTTTATGGCAGAGTACAGCTCCCCCTGTGTCAGCTCTCCTGTGACAGAGCAAAGTGTAGCAGGTTTTAAAGAGCACTGATACTTATAATCCATGCAGCAGTGGTGTACGTACAGGCAAAGACTACATACACACATACTGTGCAAAGTTCTTGAACCACCTCATGTTTGTTTTACATCCAAGGCCAGGACAGTTAAAGTGGTCTTGAGTAAACATTTTTCACTCTTCAGCCCAGTTTTTGTACGTAACCATTTTCAAAGGAAGTTGGGTTTTTTAACGCTGACCTACGAATCATTCAAACATAAATAAGGGACCTAAATCAAAGGATGAACCGGTGTTGTGCCAATCATACAACGAAATGAACAGTATCTATAAATCTCTCCCTCTCATATTATTTAAAAAAATAAAAAAACAAACTTAATTCTTCCTCCTGCGTCTTTATTCTTCAACGTTGTCAGAAGACGATCTTGTCCTGTGCAGTATCTTTGCTGTTCCTGTGCTCTTGATCTCTCATGTCATTCCTGGGATCAGCTGGAGCCACCTGCCCAGGTATGGAGAACACCGCCCGAGTGCTCCGATGACCACGGAGGTCACTGTTGCCTTTAGCTTCCACGTCCTTCTCGTATTGACGCCAGAGGCTTCAAACAGTTATATTATTCCAGCAGGGCATCTTGATCTTGTTGTGATTTGGCGCTGTATAAATAAAATTGAAATTGCATCTGACAGCCGGCAGGTGTTGATTGGCTGGATCTTGTTCTTCCCGTTCAGCCGACTCCTCAGGACTCGTCTCTGCAGGTATTTGGTGGTTGCAGCTTTCCTAACAGCCTCTTCGTGGTTCCCACATGACTGTGGGACTCCAAGTATTACAGCTACATGCTCTGCCTGCAATGTGCAATCCCCTCACTTCTGATCACCTTCCCCCTCTGTGTTACCATCCTCCTACACGTCTCCAGTCCAAATGACAGGCCAGTGTTATTGCTGTTATTGATCTTAGTGGATCAGTGAGCTGATCTCTCATTCACTCCTAGCATGCAGCTCGATGTCATCCATGTACAGGAGGAGGTTCACTTGAGGCTGGTCTATAGTGCTGTTTGCCACATCCCACTGATGTCCTGATGATGCCACTTCATTGCTATTAAGTGCAGGATTTACAAAGGAGATGACCTCCACTGCTGTTCTGCATTACTGGCTACAGAACAGAGCAACTGTTATCCACCTCCTGTACATGGATGACATCGAGCTGCATGCTAGGAGTGAATGAGAGATCATCTCACTGATCCACTAAGATCAATAACAGCAATAACATCGGCCTGTCATTCGGACTCCTATTGATCGTGTACATTTTTAAGCATTCCACTGCTGCCACTGTGATGGTTACTGGAGCCTGTTCAGGGAGGCTGCTGTGGTCTCAGCATTGTTATGTGTTGCATCCTTGTCCCACGTGCCCTTCCAGTATTGGTCTGTCTCCAGCCTCGGTGGAGCTGTCCTCATATTGTTCCCCTAACACTGAGCACACCTTGGATGGTTCAATGCAGAAAAGCTGGTTTATTCTCCAGGACTCCATCTCTGGTATACTCGACTCTTCAGGAGGTTAGCCGTTTCCAGAGCCTCAGACATGGGCACACTTTTCTTCATCACACTTTTCTCCAGTTCTGATAGTTGGCTACCTGACATCCTGGCTTCCCCTTGTCATAGACAAGGTACAGCACAAACGCTATCTCCAGCTGCAATACAAATGACTCCTTCCAGATGTTGGAACGCTGAGCTACTGTTGTGAAGAGTGCAGTCCAAGGAACAGCAAAGATACACACACTGCCACCAACGCAGTGTAAGTGGCTGACAAA